TAATCAATTTTGTGAAATTGAAGTCCATAACAAGCAATGAAACAACTGTTTGTTTTTAAATTGAAAACATGATTTGTTTTATTACAGACAGGTGAGAGGGAATTATTTTCTAATAACCACATAAGTGGGAATGTTTATCTAAACCAAAAATAAAGAACACACTTTCCCCCATTTTTAGCAGGGAAATTAATTCGAATATTGGAATTTAAAAACATGGAAAGTTAACGATCATCTAACACTTGGCTTTTTAAGTATACTTTGCAAGAATGTAGTTAGGCTACAAACAGCCAAAGTACATAGCATCTCATGCCGGCTTTCCCAGTGAACCTTGCGGTGCGCATCACACTCGTTAGGAGAATAAATTTAAAGAAGCCCTCCTCCCCAGTAGGCCTATGCTCTGAAGACAATTTCCAAGCCAAACCTTGAGTGTGATGCCGCACCGCAAGGTCACTGGGAAGACGGCATGAGATGCTATGTACTTCTGGCTGTTGTAGCCAACTACAATTCTTCAAAAGTATACTTAAAAAAGCCAAGTGTAAATGATCGTACTTTCCATGTTTTTTAATCCAATTCGAATTAAATTTCCCCTGTAAAAATGGGGAAAGGTGTTCTTTATTTTGGTTTAGATAAACATTCCCACTTATGTGGTTATTAGAAAATAATTCCCTCATCACCTGCTCTGTAATAAAAATAAATCATGTTTCAATTTAAAAAAAACAGTTGTTTCATTGCTTGTTATTGACTTCATTTCACCAAAATTGATTAAACCTGTTGAATTTACAGACGATTTACTTAAAAGCAATAGAATTCATTAAAACCTTAAGTTTCTTCAAGTTTTGCATTTTTTCTGAAGCAAATGTTTTTGTCTAGATATTATTGCGAGGAATTGAAATTCTGTTCCTCCTAATACGACGTGCATTGTATGGGGGTGATGAAAAACAACATCCAAACCAGGGAACATTGAATTAACCAAGTAGTGTACACACAGAAACTGCACAGAACAATTAAGTGTACAGCAGGTGTACAGAACTTTCGCTTCGCAAGTATTGCAGTTATCACATACGGAAAGTACTCTTTGCCTTAAGATCGAACCAAAGAACTTATAACTATTTATATACTAGTATACTTATACTAGTCTGTAGTTATAATAACTTTGTATCGAACATTCCATGCATGTGCTTCATAGGTAGGAAGTAAATAATTTTAATTTAAAAATTGCTTTTGGGAAGGGCAAATGTCGAAAGGTAACTTATATACTGAAATACATATTTTTAAAAAAGAATTTTTCCCCACTTTCTACTACAACATTAAATAGGTAAATTATAGATATTTAAATCATTCAGAATAAAATGAATCAAAAAATTAATAGGGATAAACGTTCACAACCTTAAAATTAAAAAAAACTTGAAATTATAGTACAAAATAAATATTGCAGAACTAATGAAAATTCTATTATTTACTTTACAAATAAGGAAATTTTAATATAATAAGTTCAAAAACTAAACAAATTAAATCATTGGCAAACTTGAAATCTTAAAAGACAAATAAACGTTACTACCCAAAATTGCAATGAAATAATTTACAACAAAATGATTTATAAAAAATGCACACAATGTAAAAAATGACTAATAAAAGGATATTACAGGTAAAAACAATGAACCACATTCATTGAAAATGTAATAGAACATAATTGGTAACATTTTGAATGTTGTCGTTGCATTATGACATTTCAGAAGCAATAAGTCAATTTTTCTGAATATTTTGTTAACTCCTCAATATCTGCATAAGTTTATCAAATGAGTACAAAAACTAGGGCCAATTAAAAAGAAATGAAAAGTATATTCTTTTATATTCTCGATTAATTAATGTAATTGTTTAGGTTTCTTCAAAATGTCAGATCGCAAAAGTTGCAAGAAACAATCAGGAAAAAAATATGTGTACTGCGATTTATACAACTCAGCCTTTGACAGCATCAACAATTGTCGGTTTTATTTAATCGGGAACTTTAACGACACCTAAACACGTCACTGTGTTGACGTTCCAACTCCCGATTGGATGAAACTGTCAACAGCTGATACATGCTGGGAGCAGGTTTGTTAAAATCGCAGTGTAGTATCCAGCTTTTTAACATCTTTCAATATCGATACTACCTTCTATTGTTATAACGTTTGAGGGTACACAAACTCTTACTCTCCGAATAACGTGTACGGGAAAAATACACTAGGACCAGGGGCATGAAACTTGGCGGTCAAAATGGGGTAATGATTTCCGCGTCATCTACAGGAGGATATATACTCTTTGACTGGTGGTGTAGACAGATACTTTGCTAGGATTTTCGCCCTACCTGCAGTGGAGGTATTTATAATTCATTTTGGGATCTTGTTGCATAATTGTAATTGATTATTTCATTTGTGAGCATTTACACCATGCAAAATAGTCTTAAAATTCCTTAAATCCATGTAGTATAACCTAACCTAAGTACATGTATTATTTATTATGTTCTATTTGTTCAAAAGTATTGTAATTATATTATTTCTAACCAATCATTTATTTCGTATGGTATTGGACAAGTTTTGTAATATATCCATTGTACATCCATTGTTTGCAATGCCCAGGTATTTAAAATTTCTCATTTTCAAATATACATAATTCATTATTGTTTGCATTTCTAGAATAGGTACACTCATTAGTGTATGATGAAATGTAATTAATTTAATTTGCTTAGGTGTACGAGTTTTTTTCCATTCTGGAGGTGATATTCGAGTCGCCGTATGTTTTGAGGAGATAACTGGCAAGATGTAAACGAATTGGACTTCACCCGCATTAGAAGATGGAATTGTATCAACAGTGTTTCCTACAAGCACAGCCCTCTTGTCTTCTCAAAGAACACTCCAAGAAAATCTTATTACAAAATGTGTCAGTGAAATCTTTTTTTCCCCTTGAGGCTGCAAGTGCTGCTAGTCTCGATGATACTGTAGACAAATATTATTTGATATATATGTTGTTGAAATAATATAATTGTCTTGTTTTTAAAAACTTGCCTAACACAAACTGGAAATCTGATAATACATAATCAAACCAATTTTGAATGTGAAAATTAAAAAACGTTTGTTTTGGAATGTGTAATAAAAGAACTGTGTGTAATAAATAACACTCTGAATATTTAAAGTTTATTTTGAAAATTTAAAAATATGAAGGGCACTGTCCAAATGGGGTGAAATACTTTTTTGGATATTTCGCATACTTCAGTGCTATGAAAGGTTAATATGTTTTAGATGATTTTTAATTAAATGTAGCAAAATTTGAATTGGTAAATGAATCGTCTGAACAATAAATCCTGTATTAATATTATTGATAGTTATAGTAAAAATCTAATCCAATTTTACTACATATACTGTCTAAATTCTATCTTCCGAAATAATTCAGTATTGTTCTGCCCTTTTGTGGGTTTCAATGAGGATAGTTTGTGCGTGGACTTTGTGAAAAAATAGTAATGATGTGCAGTAACCAATCAAATAGCTGTAGAAAATGAAAAATCTTGTATTGCAGCCTAAACAGAAATCTGTGCCAATTGTTATTTTAAAGTTAAGAATATTCCCAACCCAAAACAAGATAGCCTAAAAATAGGGGAACAAGCCAAATTGAAATTGTTATATCTTCCAGAAATTTTAATTTCATAAAAGATTTTTTTGTAAACAATGTAAATTCCCTCTTAAATCCTAGAACACTAAGCATATTTACTGGTATGTTTATACTAACTTCAAGGCGAATCAACTTGCCCAACATGAAACTAGTGTAATTTATACATTTGTTTCATTTTCCATGATTTTCAACGACTTACATAAAATAGTCACTGAACCAATGATTGACATTGTATCAAAATTACAATTTATTTTTGGCTAAAAAATGTCACCAAAAATTAAGGCTGCTATGATTTCAATCATGATTTAAATCAAATGATAATTTTTTTAAAAAAATCAGTGATTTAAGCTAATATTTATGATTTGTAATTTGTGAAAATATTTGAAAAAAGAAGTTATGCAGATGACTGAAATCAATTACACAGTTTATATAAAAAATATATTATATTTCTTAGCAGCAGGATAAGAAGCATGTTTCTGTTTAAGCTGACAAGTATCACAAGAATAATATTAATATTCTAGAAGTTTCCTGCATTTCCATCTGTTCCCATCATTCCTTTATCACTCTGTCCTGATGGTTTGTGTTTCAGAGGAGCCTTTAGGGATCTTCCTTGTCTCTTAATAAATTCCAGCCCTTTCAAGAGTCTTCAACTTTCTTTGTTGTTTTGTTGTCTTTTTCGTTGTTTCTCTGTGGATACAATTCATGAAGAAATCCAAAATGATGGTGTTCGAAGATCAGGATGTAAGATAATTGTAGCTCTTAATTTAAACAAATTAACATCAAATAATTTAACAGGTATCAACATCCCAACAGTTAGAAAACTGGACCTTTCATTTTTGTTTCCTATTACTGATATGAATTTATGAAATAATGAGACATTTATACCTTTTCCCCCCGTTTTTCATCTACGTGTTCACGTTAAATACTCATTAAAATTTTTTATATGTAACCAAGAAATTATTTAATGGTCTACAGATCTCCATGTACTGGGTAGATTGTAAATTTTCTACTATAAAAAATATTTCTGCTATAGAAGTGAGGTTCTGTCCCAACAATTATATCAAAGTATGCATATTTGATTAATTTTATTAGTACATACAATTTTATAAACATTTATAATATTTCATTCATAATTTATCAATTAAATATTGGCGATTTATGTTTTTCAACCATCGTTCATGCATCTGTTGATTTTTGGGGAGATATGAAAGGGCATTCTCCAAGAGGTTGAGCACCCTCCTACGGAATATTTACCCATCTTCTGCAAATAATACAACTAATTGTTTTTGTAGTAAATCGTAAGAAAAGTAGATAATACTCATGGATATTCCCTACATGCACCACAACTTTAATTTGAAAATGTGCGCCCAACCGCAACAACTGCGCTATCTGCACCACGTCCATGACTGAGGAAATTAACATAGTCCCCCGCCTTTTAACATTAAGTGAACCGGCCCCGACTAGAACAAGGTTCCCAAATCGAGAGCTTCAATATAAAAAAAATTATAAGGAGGCTCTCGATTGGATACTCGCGTTCCAGCTAATCACTGTCTATTCGTCCTACGTTTTAATCTGAGTATAATCACGCGGCCCCACACAAGAAAAGAGGAAGTAATTATTGGCACTTATTTGACATTCAATGTGACCGTTTTACCGCAGAAATGAATACCTATGTTGCAGATATATTTAAAGATGATTCATTTCATTTAAAAAAATTTATTGGTAAAAATGTAATCGTTACAACTATTCACGATGAATGTCAAAAAGGTATTGTGTACACTATAGACCCTATTACAGAAAGGTAAGGTTATATTCCGGACTTTATGTCATCAGAAGACAGTATTTTTATCTCTAACTAAATGATAAAAAATTAAGGGTTAACTACACATGTGTGTTTGTACATTCTACTTTTTGTTTCATGAATGTTTTTGTGTTTCAGCATTATTCTTGTTAATAATAAGGACGGAAAAATTTCTCTGGATGTCATCATGAGACACATTCTTAAGGCAATAGAAATATTAGATTCATCAGATCACAGTGTAATGTTAAACAGCATATTTTCTATTCCTGACACATGGTATACCAAGGAACAAGTGAACAACAGAAAAGCCAAAGTAATGCAGTTACTGGATAAGCACAGAGTTCCATATGTGGAAACTGAGGAAGTGCTGAAAATTCATGACACTCTTGAAATTCATCCTCCTTATGGAATCGAACAATGTGTGAGCAATAACACTGTTATTCTGTCTCGAGTGCAAAGTCTTTTAGCATCAGTGTCTGTGGACTAATTTTAATTTTACATTGTAAGTTTCATAAATTTTTGAGACTTGTCATACCACTACATATATTTTCAATAAAAAAAATCAACTTTTCACATGTTTTGGAAAAGTATTATTTTTCACGAGTGTAATGTGTGCCAAGCTATATAATATAAATCCACCATAAAATTTAATGTATCTTTGTATATATTATTTTATTAAACCATTCTTTTTAATATATAAACTTCACATGCAAAAATGCAATATATTGAAAATTATAACCATTCTGTATAGCAATGGTTTGCCAAATATATCTCGAAATAATTCCTTGATATTGTTACTCCCTCTCCTTTGGATTTTATGAAGAAATCCATATGCCTCCACTTACCTTTAAATCAGCCAAAGGCAATAGTATGTGCAATGACTAGAGGCTTCATGCAGTTATTAAAATATAAGTCTTTGATAGAGAATGAAAATGATGTAAGCAATTCTGAAAGGTAACTCATATCCAAGAAAACTCTAAGGGGCAAGGGAAGATTAAAATTGTAGTGTTGGCATCACTGGCTACATTGGGAAGCACCGATGTAAATGTATCCTTTAAAAATCACTTTTAAACTTTATCATGCAGCAAAAATTGCATAGAGGTACCATCACTGATGTTTGCTACGTATACTAGACAAGTGAAGAAAGAGTCCGAAATATTTTTGACCCCCAAATTTCATGAGGAAATCACGGCTCTTAGAAGGTGTATGTGTGAGGGGGAGTTGCTTCTGGTCCCAACTTATTGGGGCTCCAATTTTTTCTTCTTTGTTTCATTTTAAAACAAAAACACTCTTTAGTAATTACTGTTACAAATATAAATAAATTCTGATAATGTATTGAGAGTGGAATTTGTGTTCGTGGGGCCCCTCTCGATCTACCGCCACAGACCTGCTTTCTCTGGATGCCGTCAGTAAAATTGGTAAATATTATCAAAACTTACACACATTGTTAATGCTACGTTTATCTCTTGAATCCATGAAGTAATATTCTGTCCTTGATATTAAATATTATCTTTGAAATCAGGTTAGTGTTTTAAAAATTACACACTTGTAATTGTTTTGACAACTCTCTCACGTTAATATCGACATTACTGGCTATTGGTACACATTATTACCTTAAGAATACATGTTCTTCAAATGATGCCTGATTAATTTTCTTGATAACTCAAACGCTTTGTGTGAAAATGAGCTCAAAATTAAATTTTTTGAACAGATGGTGCTAAATGGACTGAACAACATGACATCAATAGCACTTTGATGAACTTTTTTTTTCTCTCCAAAAAAATTACACAAATGTAGTTTGAATGAATAATCTCTCATACCGTTAATATTTACATTAGCAGCGATTTGTATACAATATTGCATTTGTGAGTCAAAATGTTTCAAATGATTTTCAATGATGTTTCTCCAAAACTCAAAAAAGTTTTCTGTGAAGAGTTTTAAATTTCGCATTTGCAGAAACGTTTTCTCAAAAAACTGCTTCAAATTTCTCAACAAAAATTACCTTACGAGGTTTTCTTCTTCTATAACATTCATAAAGTCAAGTCATTTCTACTTTAAGAGCACTGAATAAATGAGAAATTTTTGAGGGAAAATGTACTTTAGGCGGCGATAAATGGGAAGAGTGCAAGGCAAAAACTTCCAATAATAGAGAAAGTAATATTTACTTTCTCGTCCTTACAAAGGAATTTAAAAAGAGAAAGTTATGGAATGCAGCGTGAAAAAAAAGGCTAATTTTCGGTGGAAAATTTATATTACAGGGCCCTGGTAACGAAAAAGTGAATAAATCCAGTTACTAAATTTAGAAAGAAATCCTCTAACACGTGATGTTGCTAGAATCCATGCTTTAAGGGGCCTTGATTCCGAAATATCGATAGACGGTAAAACTATATGTCCGTCTGTGAACAACTACAGTTTGCAGCTGCCGATCTGGGACATTTTCAAAATTTTGAAAAAGAATGGCGCCATCTATTTTTATTAAATTTTAATGTTGAATAGACTGAAAGACTTTTAAGAGAATAGCGCAGGTCTCAGGTTGGTTCAGTTTTTAGGAAATTGAAAAAAAAAAAAAAAAATTCTGCGTGTTCTTACAACTAAAATATTAACGGTAGATATATATTTTTCAATAATAAAATCTGTTCCTTAAAAATAAATTTTGAAATAAGGTCATGTACAACTTTTCGAAAATTTGAGTATTTTTCGCTCATTTTTCTACGTAATATTGGGAATTTTAAATTTTTGTTTAAACAGTCTGTTTTTTTCTTCTCAAAAACGGCGTCTTCGTTTTTAATGAAATTTTGTTGGTGGATAGTCTGAAGGACGTTTAAGAAAATAGTGCAGGTCTCATATTGATTGAAAACCTTGATTTTTCGGCAATTGAAAAAATCTATTTTTTTTTTTTCGGTATCTTCCTACAACTATAATTATGAAGATATGTTAAATTATGAAATCATGTTGAGTTTTTGAAAATATTAGTATTTTCGGAGTAATTGGGCTTCAAATTTAGTCGCCCGCTCTGAAAATCCTGCGCTTCTTGATAGTAATTTTAGAGGTGTTTTTGAGGCAGTTGGACGCTACATAAGTTAGACTGTGTACATTATTTAATATTTGTGTTCGTTTTTTACATTGGAACTTTTGTTATACGTTTACAAATTAATCTTTTAGAAATTATTTAAAACCTATTTAAAATAAATATGAAATAGAGATTGCTAGCCTTCACTCGCCCGCTCCCAATTTACGCAGTTGGATGCTAAGTATGTTAAGAATTTGCATAGTATTTCATTTTATTATATTTATGTTATTTGAAATTGCGTCATTTAATTGTGTTAAATGTTAAAACAAATAGATGAGGGGTAATTGTTGGTTGTTTCCCATTGTATCGCTACTCAGATAATAGAAGGCGATAATGACTGCTGCTTTTCGTTCGTGGAAATAAAAGCGAATACATTTATTTATTTATTTGTAGAATATTACAATACTATAGTGCTTAATAATTACTATTATATTTAAGTCTATTTGCTTTTGTTTGCTAATGCTATCAGTATCGTATTATTTATTAACTTACAAAAATAGTTCGGAGAGAAATTGTGGTATAAATAATATTACATAACCATTACTAATGGCGAGAAAGTACATGCCGCTTTAGCACCACTAGTGGTTTTTTTTTTCATTCCATAGATTATTCTGTTGTCAGTTCAATTAAATTTTGCAACATTAAATAGTTGTTCAGGATCGGCGAAGAACGCACGTACTTCATTACATAATACTCATATTTCATAATTCATTACTAAATACATTTTTTTATTTTAAATGATGCGTACAAGAAGTATTTAAAGAATACTAATACTTATGGATGGGCAGAGGCACTCCCAGGATTTTTTTCGGGAGGGAGGGCTACAGTATAGGGTCCAACTGAACCGATAATTTCTTATAAAGATTTTTTTTACGTTGAATGTAAAGTGTATTTTAATTTTTTGACGAATAGTTAATATTTATGACGTTAACAATTGCTGTTTTGAATGACTTTCATTAGGGCATACATTTCATAAAAGCTATATATTTGAGTATGTACTATTGGCTTCTGAAGGAAGGGCTTAAGTGCCCATGAGCCTCTTGGGTGCGCCACTGCTTATTGCTAGAAACATTAATTTACAGTTGCGTTAAGTTTTAAACTATTAGTGAAAGGTTTTAGAAAGTCATAGTACGCACTCTGCTCCAAGGCCCGAACCAATGCGGAAAACTTGGTAGAAAGTTTGCAAAACACTTCATTTCACATCCTAGCATGTCGTACCCAAAACCAATTCCCAGCAAATCGTCCTCGGACCCACTTAGTTTAACCCCAGTACTACCTCTCTCCATATTCATTCCTCTTCACCTGTCATCTTTATCGTCTCACTAATCGTCAAATTCCTAGTCACTGTTAGAACACGATTCAGCCACGCACTCGGAATAAAATGAGGTAAAGAAATAGAAATAAGTCAAACGCAGCAAAAACTATACGCGTACTTATAGGTTTATGAAAAGCATTCGCATAATTGCATCATAATGTTTAGACTCAAATAATACAGAATTTATCGAATCAACATTACAGTGCGAAATAAGTCCAATACACGTTTTTTTGCTTTACAGAACATAGGTAACATGAAAAACGAACTAAATACTCTTCAAATTCCTAGGCGAATGCCGTGGCGTGGACTCTCCTTCTTCTTCCTTATCCTGTCCTCTCTCTCTTACACGCACGCACACACACACGCACGCGCGCGCAACCATAGCAATTGACGTGTCCGTAAACATCAATCAACTGTACAAGACAGTTAATGTTCACATTATCCAAAATTGGTGGATACAGTCGGAAGTAGGAATGCTTCGAAGCATACTTTTCACTTTATCCAGACGAAGTTGACATTAGCCAACATGAGGTGGCTGGTGTATGTGAAATACTTAAAGACGTTTTGAAATATCAGTTTTGTGATAAACAGGGATCAGACTGCTGCTGAGAAGTGTCGTAGGTAAGTGAGAGACAAGGTGGGCAGTTTCAAGTTCCTCTGTGTCAATCGGAAATCCCAATTTTACGAGACCCTCGTAACCTAATCTCGCTGTAGGCTATTGGCTCAGCTGACGCTTTGCAATGTATTTCCGGGTTGGCGATGAGGCTCCAGCCTTCAACTGTGGTGGAAAGGGATGGATGAGCTATCGCGCATCGTATCCGACTTCAGCCAATGAACTTTAGGCACCAGTTTGCGTCACAATATTATCGGGAATTTTAAATGCAGCCAGATAATAAAACTTATCACCTTATGTCATTGAAATATAAAATATTGAATCTTTTATTTCAATTACACTTTCATCGTATTATTTTTGGTTCTACATTCAAAATGTTTCTCAATACTCCTGGTCTCCATGCAACATGGCGGCGAGCGTTTAGTCTGTCTTTTCAAACCCGTGTTGTGGTCACGTGGTTCGTGACACAAACTGGTGCAGTGCAGAACAAGAAAATATCGGCGCTCCGAACTAGCTCACCCATCTCTTTCCATTATACCTTCAAATTTCGCCATTTACATTTCACGATCGTGAGTATGTGAAACGCATGATTTCCCACGCATTCCCAACATATAATTGAAAACAAATTTGTTTCCCAAAATATTTTATTCTAACACACGACACTTCATAATCTGATAATCACTATACGTTAGCCAGCGCCGTTTCTAATATCAACATTAGTCGAATAAAGTACGAAATGATCCGCTTTCGTACACCGTACGTCTTTTGAACACCGTCTTTCTAATGAGGGATAATTCAATAATTAACCGGTTAATTAGCGAATTAGCTTTATTTCGGACTTAAGTCGTAACATCGAGATTCACTTCACTGTAAGTCACTGTATGTGCAAGTTTTCTTGACATTCCACAATAGGAATCCGGGGAGTGGAAGGCTCTGCCTTCGTCACAGCTTCAAAGAAGCGTGCTGACTTGGTTGATCGGGCCTTAAGGCCTGGATCAACTTAGATATAACAGCATGTTAATCCTATTCATCGGAATATTTGGCACGTTCACTTTCTTTAGACTTACTCCCTAAAACGTTCACAATGAGAAGGTAATATAGTGGTTGACGACATCAATCTTTCTTTCAATAATCATCTTCATATATCTGCTGTGCGCAAATATAAGATGGAAGACGAATAACTGTGTCACCCCTTTCAGAAACCCCTTGTCGATGACCTAAATCTTTTTATTGGGCTTATTAATTTGTATTTTTGAAACGGGTGTATAAATTACTTATTTATTTGGATCACGATTCCTCTCTTTTCTAGCCATGTCTAATTAACCAAGAATAATAAAAATTTCTACCTGCCGTTCCGAGTCGAAGCAAAGTTTCTCGGCGGGCTTTGCTATTCAGCACTGGGCAGGGCCTAGGAAGCTCGCGTATCAAGAAAACTTGCGTGTATAGTACCTAGTCCAATTCAGATTACTAACCAGATCGGTGGATGGGAGAGATGAGTCGGATTTGTCCATGCGGCTCTGCCCATGCTCCCGGAGGAATGTAATGGAGCCTTATTACAAAATGAATGTTGCTCGCACAGGGAGAGGTGGTTTAGGGCATCAACTGATGTCGCTGCAGTGCCCCTTGAACGGAAGGTCCTACGTTTGAGTCCTAACGGTGGCAGGATTTTCGACACAATAGCTAGATAGCTAGCTCAATAGCTGTCTGGAGGAGAATTATAGCGGCCGACCACTCTGATCGGTAGTTTTCCGTGGTTTCTTCTATAAATGCCAGGCGAATGCGGGTAAGGCGTATTTTAAAGGCGAAAAAATCCTTCGTACGCCTTCCTTCGGAGGGGAAGTAAAGCCGGATGTCCCATGTAAGTAGATTTACTTGCATGTAAAAGATCATCAAGTCTAAATGAAGCCTCTGAGCAAAATTCAAATCGCCTGTTTCGTCGCCCAAGAAATACCACCTTTCTCTGCTAGTTGGTCAAAGGAGCGTAGCGAAATCTGTGCGGTCAAATGGAAGAGCGGGCCTGATGGCCCGAGTCTCGCCATGTAAAATAAGGCATCAATACAATAGAGTGCAGTGCAGTGCAGTGCAGTGCAGTGCAGTGCAATACAATGTCATGCCATTCAATGCAATGCCCGAGTAGTACCCTAGCAAACGCGATACAGACCGCGCGCGAATTTTTCTTCTTCTTCCTTGTCCTATCTTCACCCCGTACTTACACACACGTACGTGCACTGCACTACCACACATGCTGGGAGGCCGTTCAGGAGCTTAGAGCTTGTCTCGGCTGGGGCGGTGTCTCGCTGGTAAGAAATACCTGGACGGAGAAAACATTCTCCCGACGAATATGTCGGTGTCGGATCTCACAATCAAGGAATTTGGGAGATCACCGCCACCTTCCGAGGGAAAACGTGTACTACACTTACGGGACCAATTATCTTATGTGATGACTCGCCCGGAGTCACTAATCAATCAAAGTTGTTCGTGTCGCGAGGAAAGGAGCAAAACAAGCCTTTCTCCACCCACCCTCGCCCCATGTGACGAATAGGTTGAATATCTGGGAAACATTTTGCTTAGGATTTACTTGTAGCTATCGTACAGAAGGCGATGCCGTATTAATTAGCTATCAATCACTTCAGGAACGGGTTTTCGGAGCGAACTTTGTGCTGCGGGTTGCATCCATGATGTTGAAAAAGTTCATCCGTTTCGTGCCGAATATTGACCACCTAAGGTGGTGGTTATTTTATTCAAGCAAAAATTCTAAGGGTTAGTTCTCAAGACAGCAATTGCACAGAGAAAAACTGACTTTGGTCTCAAAATAAACATCTCATCTCAGATACAATCGGACTCCTGTAAAATGACAGATTTCCAGTGACGCTTTTTTATGCACGTACAATATGTAGTACCCGATTTAATGTATGTGTTTAACAAAAATATGAACATTTTAAGTTTAAAAGTTTTAAATTATTCAAAATGTAATAATTTCTGAAAATTTGTTTTTTTCTGATGAGAAAGCAATATCATGCATACATTGCGTCATCAGATTTCCATCTCTTGGATCCTAAGCTGTTCATTTCAACCAAGTATTCAAATTCCAGTCTTACACAAAGTTATTCATAAAATAATTTTGTTAAATCTATTCAAAATTCATATCTCAAAATTTAAACCCTCCGCAACTCGGAGAAATTCCTTCTGTTCAGTTTGGAATTAGCGAGGTATTATAGAATTGATTATTACATAGACTTAATACATTAGACTAAATTCTCTAATTTTTCCAACATCAATCCTGACTACAATTCATAAATTTTCTTTCTAATAATGGTCCTAAATGGACGCTATTTTATTATTTCACGAATAAGTCAAGGAGTAATTTAATAAATTTTGAGGTTAAGGAACTGTTCTCTTTCTTATTCTTCCTTCCTCTCTTGAAATTATCTCAAAATACCATAATAAAATGGAAAATATTGACAGTAAAAAAAATTAACAATATCTTTCCTCGTGAATTTTGTAAAGAAAGAAACAAAAGAACGACGAGAAAGAAGCGAAAGAACGACGAGAAAGAAGCGAAAGAACGACGAGAAAGAGCGAAAGAAAGACAGGAAAGAGGCGAAAAGGAAGACGAAGAAGAAGCGTGAAAAGAAAGACGAGAAAAAACGAAAGGAAAGAGCGAGAAAAGAAAGTCGAAAGAAAGACGAGAAAAGGAAAACGAAAGAAGACGAGAAAGAAAACAAAGAAGACGAGAAAGAACGAAAGACAGACGAGAAAGAAACGAAAGAAAGACGGAGAAAAGAAACCGGAAAGAGAGACGGAAAAGAAACGAAAGAAAGAGCGAAAAGAAACGACAAGAATGACGAGAAAGAAACGAAAGAATGAATGACAGGTTACTCGTATGTGTGTAATCGGAAAGACGGGCGAGGGGGGAGACGCAGGCGAGGGCGGAGGGGGCGGGGCGACGGTGGTAAAGGTCGCGGATCGCCCACGGGCGGTCGATGGGCGACGCGCATGCGCGGAGGCGGAGGCGGAGGCGGAGGCGGAGGCGGGGCGGCGAGTGGCGGGGAATGACCTTGGGCGCGCCGCGCCACGGCTCGGCGCTTTGACTCGGCTCCGCGCAGTATCTCCTGGCAGCGCAGGCGGACCGGTCATCAGTTCTTAGTCCTCAGCACCCGCACCCGTTAGCCCTCACCATGTTCTCTGGAGGCGGTCTCGGTGGAGGTATGTATCTATGTAAAGCGCCTTTTTGAGAAGGAAACAATTCGCTTTCGAGAAAATAGGGAAAAAGAGAAACAAACTTTTCAGTTTGCATTAGAACCTTAGTGTAAGCACTACGAGAAATCCTTTTTAGTTTTTTCTTCGTTATTTTTTTATGTATGCAAGTGTCAGGTTCACATTTTACCAACGTTGAATTCACAGAATTGAAATTAGAAATTTACCAGTAAAACTATTTCACTAGTCAAAGAAATAGAAGTTTAGTAGTAGAAATTGCGCACAGAAAAACGGGAACAATATTCAAACTAATGTGCAACACTAATATAAACTTGTTGAGGCAATTTCATTTAAGGTTTATAAGAATACGTTACCGTTTACAAAAATTCGACGTTAATAAAATACCATCAACCGACCTTTCATTTACAAGCTGTTTAAAATAGAACTATGTTGTACTGACACATTCCAGTGCAAAAAAATTTGCTTTCAGAGGGATAATTAATTTTGGGGAACCGCGCTATTTTTCTTGAAAACAATTTATTGGATTTTTTCCGAAACTTTTCCCAATACTATTTTTTGGGGCCCCTTCGAGGGGAATCAAATTGCCACACCTATTATAAACATACCTCCTTTGAATTCCACTCGGTTACAACTGATCTTATAAGTAAATGGTAACATACACGTGATAAACATAAATATATTTTGCAATATGTTTATTACTCGTAGCACCTATAAGGTGCATTGTTTGTTTATTGCTTCACGAAACAACTTTTACATGGACGAAGGAAAATATTTTCACAGTAGATTCTTGACTTTACGCCAACCAAGAGAAGACTTGCAACATAAAGCCAGAACCAAAACTCTTATCGATCGATTTTGCCCCTCGAGTTGTCCGGGCGTTTGTTGCATGAGGCGAACGTCGGCAGAGAATTCCGTAAGGAGCCGGCCTTTCGCGAGCTGATGTCAGCGCCCGTCGCGGCTGCGTCCTGTCGCGTCGAGTGAAAGCTGCGGGGCCGCGCCGCGCCGCGCGTTGCAATCTTCGCCGCAGTGCAGTTGCACCTGTCGCGAATACGGCCGCCCCGCGACGGAATGTAGCTGTCGCAGAGGTCTTTATAAGGCTTGGTCGTCGATGAAATCCCCTTAAGACGACAGCATAATCACAATGTGACATTCACGTGACAAAACGTTTTGTCATAACAAACATCGTATTTCGTGTAATTCGTAAATAAATAATAATAATAATAATAATAATAATCGTTCGTACTCAGTGTATTCATGCATTTGCTAACAGAAATTTATATATATATATATATATTTATAGGTATAGTATATATATATATATCATTGTTTGAAAATCCGTCATAATGCTTTCGTGCAACAGTGTGTACCCAATGCGAAAAATAATCACGTTTTGTAGCTGTGACTTTTCATGTACTCGTTAGGGTGTTTCGAAAATATAGTTCTGTTGAAATCTAAAAGAATAAAAATACACGTTAAGAGTCACGAATACCGGAACGTTTTTACCATTATCTTATTTATAACTGACGCCTTTCTTAGTTGGAAAGGATGATGAAGACATACCATGACTAACGATACATTGAACTTCGTTTAATCGTTGTTTTTTTTTCTTGGAATGTAGATCTTGAATTTTCTTAATTGGCAAAAATATTATTCATTAAGGGTTTTTTAAATTTATGAAATCCTAGTCTTCTTGTTCCAATTTGCATATTTATAATTTTTGGCGTTAATTATATCTAGAGTATAAATTCAAGAAAAACATTCATTTGTACAATTTAGTAGTCGGTGGATTAACACATCACACTCGCCAATGGCTGAAATGGTTATGAACTTTATCGACAGTTGCTTATCAGATGTAACATGTTGTTTACGTACAGTATAAAGTGTCGGTAATGCTTAGAATCGTTCTGGACAACAATATTGCTAGTTGAACGGTTCCAATCGGACGTTGGGAGAACTACAATCTGGCGACGTACACGAGACCATTCTCAATTCTTAAATGTTTCCTCCTGGCTCACGTCTTAATGCATCTCTCACACGTCTTTTTAACAAGCTAATAATAGAAAGAGGCGAAAATGTATGGCGACGAGGAAAGCATCGCCATGGGTCGGCGACGGTGCTGCCTCCTGAACCGGCGATTGTTTGGCGTCGCGATTCGCGATTCGCCTTTGTTCGTGCGCGGGCGAGGCGGGTGGAACGGGCGGGGCCTTATTTTGCATCCCTAGCCGGTCATTTGCGGGTACGCCGCACGAGATGGGCGTTGCGCCGCGCCGCCGGCGTGCTCTTTTTTTGTTTTGTTTTGTTTCCCCGTGAGGTGCGCAGCGAGCCGGCACGCCAGCATGCCAGGCGGGGCCCCTCCTCTCTGCTGCTCCCCTCCCCTCACCCCGCCACTCGCTTGCTAGCCGGCCGGCTTGCAAGCGACGCCATACCGGCGTCGCCGCCGGCCCTGTCTGAGGCCCCTGTGCGTGGCTGCCGCGGGGAACTCTTGAGTTCAATTGCTGGTTTGTGGCGCTTGTTAAATTCAAATATCGTCACTACTCGAAAATATTTTTTTGTACCGAGTCGGGTTTGAAATTAACTTGGTTAATTCTAGTAAGAAAGGATTTTAAAAAGCAGTGCTCAGGTACCATGAATTCATTAGGAAACTCAGGTAGGATGATCTTGGGAGTTGAATATATCCGAAAAGAACTTTCAGCTAAAATAATATAGAAGTGTTGTCATTATGTCATTACAGCTTCAAATCCATATGTAATCCATTTCGCTCGTAAAAATTCTTAAAGTTCTCTCTTTTATTCTCTTTCTCTTTTTAGGTGACGGAATGAAATGTTCTTTTCATCACATCCTCACAGACGCTCTATTCAAGTCCGCGTTATCTGAGAATCAGTTTAATTAAAATTAACTACCTTTAATTTTTTCCAAAAAAGAAGACATCAGTGCTCAATTTTTCTTTCTCAGCACTCCATTTTTGCCATTCTTAAGGATTTTTTTTACATTTTCAGCGTGTATTCTTCTCTTGGTATTGAACTCCTTCGCTTAAGACGGATTTTCAATTTCCAAGAAGTGCCATAATGGGAAGGGTCTTTGACAGTCCACGACGGATAACCCTACTCTGTGTTATCCCTTCCCACAAATGATCACGGGATGCTTGTGCATTCTGATCAAACGTTTCGGAACCCGTGAGCATATTTAAAACAAAGTTAATTTAATCTGCGATGCAGCTATGGAGTTTATGCCTCCAGGACGTCCGCTTGAGTTGGGCGCGCCCCGCGGCGTAAAAAAATAAATATCGCACAAAAAGAAAACGTAGTGTAGGCAACGTGTAGGCAGTGCAGGCAACGTCCCTATTGATTTTATTGTTAACTCGTACAGTACGCTTCACGGACACAGATTTCAAATCTTGAAACTTCAAAGTCGGACTCGTCTGTTGTTGTATTTGTCATTTTCAAGCCTGAAAAATTGATTTATCTTTGATTTAACCCCTTTGCTTTCTACTTTGTGTCGAACCCTAGAATAAAAGGAGGTATACCAATACACTTCAATGTATCACACCATTTCAATGCATCTATATATCGATAAATAGATATTCTGAAGAATTGTACATCCCCATCTATGAATATAACTTGAAAGGTTACGTTACGACAGCAGTTTTGAAAATGTTTCATCTAAATCTGCTAATACGAGTATTTAGTAAACGTGACAGTTTAAAAAAAATGTTTCATATACATCTGCGAATACAACTTGACGTCAACGACATATTTTTAAAAAATTATATATTTTCATCTCGTGCCTTTGGGCTCTAGTTGTGTATCTATCCATTGTGTAATAAATATAAACGAACAGTGACCTCTAAAGCGACATTTCAACTGATGTGGCTAAATAAAAAAATTGTGAATAGGAGTTGAGTTCGTAAAAATTGAATTGAACGAGACCCGTGTAGGACTCCGTCGCTGCGGGATGACGCAGTGGGGCAGGGGGCGTGGTCCCACCCGCCGCAGCTGATCCCTGTCGTCACACAAGGACTCGGGTGGGCGGCAAGTGCAGCACTCCGCGGGGCGCTGACTACTGGGCGTTGGCCTCCCAGGCAATCACTCGGAGTAGCGTGATGCTCTTTCGAGGTCCAGTGTTAAAAGGAACAATTTTTTAAATTAAAAATGACTAGAGGGGCGCACACGGTGCACGTCAGGAAAGGTTGACGAAAAGCGTTGTGTTTATTTTATTTTATTTTCTCTATACATCACGAGAAAAGAGTTGAACTCAACTTGTTTTTTTCAAAATGTTAATGTTCCTTGTTCGGGAACAAAGCGTCAAAGCCAGGCGTTTCAAATTGATTATTTTCTTTACATTAATGTGCGAATTGGCAGATTACAGTGACTTTGTAGTTGCTCTTTATTTAATACCCACAGTACATAGATAAATTTATTGATTTATGATAAACGATGCAATGAAAACCATCATCCACATTTTGTAGCAATATTTTTAGTTATTGCACTTATATCTCGTTTAGAGGATTAAAAAAATGTAAACATGGAAAAGTTCCTGAAAAACTGAAACTTAAAATCATTAATCTAAACAAGGATTGTTGTTAATTATTCTTTTGTATGTTGAATTGCGAGGGAAATAATTTTCTCTAATGCTGTTTAAATCTTTGGTCATTAAATTCAAAGAGAACATAGATTCCGAAACTGTCTACATTCATAATTGAGAGAACACGTTTTGAGCTATATTTTTCCAGAAAACTGTAGAGAGAACACTGTATGGATGAGAATTAATTAAACTACCATTCTTAGTTTTCTATTTAACTGAAAAGTTATGTCGTATTCCAAACTTTGAACTGACAAGGATTCAAGGATAAAATTGTTCAATGCAATGTGAGAAATTACGAAAGACATTATTTGCCTATTATCACACATTTGGGTGTACGCTTGTTTTCTTGAGGCCCGGCGATGCCCGCTCACATTACCCTTTAATTACTTTGTTTACGTTTGTTTCCT